TAAAATCAATTTAAAGGTAAAAGCTATGAGCATTAGACATAAATATCCCTTGGAGTCATTTTCCTTCAGAAAACTCACCATTTTTTCTATGTCATTAATTAGTTCTCAGAATATGCATTTCGTTGTTAGATATAGGAAAAATTGTCACTGAGTCTATAGCACAAATGACATTAATAGTCTGGAGCTTACATAAGGAAAAGTAGATATAATTGGTTTTTATCCTTGGCTTTGCGACCACAAGGACATAAAGGAAAAACCAAATAAGATAGTGGTTCTGTGCCATCCATAACCTGGCTTCTCTGAAAGGAGTTTATATAGTGGTACCACTGTTTGCAAACTGAATTCTTTCCAAGAAATCTATATAGGCTTTTAGCAAGGTCTATAGGATTTGCTCTTCTGTTAATACAATCATTTGATGGAATCTTGTGTAGGTCACACTGACTATGGCATCTACTGAGTTGCATTGAAACAATTTCCTTTCTTTTAGAACTTGAAGTGCTTCAGAGTTCTCACTAAGAATCTCTGAAGCTTACAAATATTAATTAGCATTGATTTGGTGGTCATGTGGAACACCTTGCTACGTGCTTTCATTGCATTGTTTTATTTAATCATCACAATACTCTAATGAAGTGTGCTCCATTTATATTTGTATTCTACAGATGAAAAAAGTTGAAGACTGTGAAGACTTATTAACTTCCCCAGTAGAGGTGGTTTTTTTTCTCAAATTCATTCATTGGTGATTATATTTGGAGTCTTTTAAAATTGTATCTTAATTCCTTTCAGAACAATTTATAATTAGGCAAATGGCCTCTAGTGTCTGCTAATCATTGATAAAGCTGCATCCTCTCTGAGGTTTTCATAAAAATATATAAAACAGTAATATGCGGCACGCAGAGATTTGATCCCGGGTCTCAAGACCAAGAAAGCTCGTGCTCTTAGCCCATCATCTTTCCATTATCAGAACATATAATGTAATTATGCAAAAAGTATTATGGTGGCTATTCAAAAAGTGAAACAAGACTGGGCATGGTGGCGCACGCCTGTAATCCCAGTTCTTGGGAGGCTATAAATGGGAGGATCACTATGAGTCCAATCTAGTAGTGAGACCCTGAACACCCTGTAGGCCCTTCCCTAAAATACAAAAAAAAGGAAAAGAAACAAAATTTACTGTATAATTCAGTAACTCTACATATAGCTACCTACTCTAAAGAACTGAAAACAGGGATTCCAGTAGCTATTTGTATATCAAAATTTACAGCAGCCTAATTCATGGTAACCAAATGCTAGAAACAAGCAATCATTTTTGACCAATAAAAGGATAACAAAATGTGTATATGCATATAATGGAATACATACAGTGGAAGGGAATTCTACCGCTTGCCACAACATGCGTAAACCCTGAAAATATTCCAAATGAACTAAACCCATACTAAAAGGAGAAATTTTATGACGCTGCTTATATAAGGTTCTTAGAATTGTCAAATTCATAGAGACACACAGTGGAATAGCGGTTGCTAGGGGTTAAGAATAGTGGAGAATGGGAAATTTAGGATTTAGTGAGTAAGTTTTAATTTAGGAGGATGAAACTGTTCTAGGCATGGGTGGTAATGATGGGGGCATAATATGAATACACTGAACGCCGTGGAAACTGACTCTTAAAATGGTACATTTTGTAATATACATCTCATCACAATTAAAGAAATAAATAAGAGTTAGTTTTGTGCTGACACTAAAAGTTCAAGCTACAAAAGTATCCTTGAGTTCTAACTTGTAAGAGATGTCTTAAAAATATCCAAATAAGCAAGCCTTACTCTTCACCACCACTACAAACATCATGTTTTGTTGTCACTAAAGATCAACATGAGCACCAGTTAGAGTAACTCTCAAGGCCACACAACGGATGGAATGGAGTGGAATATAGATGTCAGGATGAGCTCTAGGAAGAATAGTTTGCCTCAAGAGTCATCCCATAATCCCTTATCTTAGTCCTTAGTAACCTTCAAAGTGATCAAAAATATTTTACCATAAGAAAGAATCCTTGAAACGATACTTAGGAAACTGGGTTAAATTTTCTTCTCAAATCTATATATCAGGACTATCAAACAACTTGGAGGGAATCTAAGGCACTTTTCATCACATATCAGGGTTGTTTTATTGCAACATTTTAAAAATAATTAATTTGTCACACTTTAATGCCCTAGATTCTGGCCCAGTTTAATTATTTACACAAAATATATGAACACTAGAAATGACAAAGGCTTCATGTTCTTTGATTTGTCAGTGCTTTTTGTGTTCTCTGTCCCACCAGATGCTTCACAACTTCATTTTACACTGACCTTGATAAAATTTTACATTGTGCTCAGTCCAAAGCAAACATTATGGGATTAACTAAATAAAAAAATAAATAAAGTTCTCCAAATGACATACTTGTCCTCCTCAAAATTCAAGGATCTTATAAACAAGTTGATAGGAAAATTAAATTCAGTTCCTTTGACAAATCACATTCATTAGAGAAGGTCATGATACAGGCATCTGGTTTTTTCCCAAGCTTGTCATTATTTGCACTTTAGACTTGCTTCTTCCTGTGCTTAGACTATTCTCTCATCCCAGTTCATGGCCAGCTTCTGGCTCTGCAGGCTTCAGCTTACATGTCATCTCTCTGGAGAGCCCAACCATCATTCTGTCAATCTCCAGTACAGCACTGAGTCCTTTCCTTTGCGGCCCTTTACTCTGAAGTCTTCTGGATTACCTACTTGGTTACTTAATCATTGTGTGCCTGTCCAGTTAGAGCATGGGCTTCATAAGGACAGAGCAGGGAACACATTGTTTCTATCGCCATTCTTGGTGTCCAGCAACATGGCAGGCTAAGAGTAGGTGACCTTGCTCTTCTATTTTTTCTGATTTGCAATGGTAGGTGCAAGTGGACTGCCAGTCTTGTTCCTAAGCACAGATGTGCTGCTATGTTTACTTTTTCTTTGTATAGATGTTGCAATAGGCTCTCTCATTGGGTTGGGAATTGGACAGTGAAAAAGAAGTAAACTAGAGGATGTAATGAAACATGTGCCTGTTTTTTAAATCTAACTCTTCTCCCATCTAGTTTTTTTTTTCTTTCTCAGATTCCCTTGAAGGCAACTCTAAAGTGTTACCTCACTTTTCAGTTAGCACCACCTGTTGGATGAATATCTTTCTTGTGTGCCTCATAAGGCTGCTTTTTCCCATGCTGCCTCAGAAGACCTGCCTTGTGCAATCATTAGTTCTGAATCTACAGGATATAGCAAGACAAATGAATGAAAAGCAAGTGGACTTGTCTTTCCAGTTATTGAAATGCAAAATGCATATAGCATCACTCTCCCCTAGATCCTCGTTTTTACTATTTTATGATGGAATTTTTTTTTTCTTCAGGGCTTTCCAGCTGTGTAATTTCACATGGTGTAGTCTATGCAGGTAGTGCGAATAGACCTCTAATTTGCTTGTAGATAGCTTTAAACAAGTCATCCCAATCAGTCATACATTTTACTTCCAACTGTCTCCAACCAAATATATAAAACTTAAGAATATGTCATTCCACCATGGCAAGTTTAGTTATTTCCCAACCATGCCAAACTACTAATTCTCCCTTTCTAATATGAGAACTTATTTTTAGAAAGTTGAAGGCCAACCAAGATAACACACTAAATTCCTGGCCTTTTTTGTAACTGGTTATGTGCCTATATATGACTGGGACAAGCCAGATCCAATGCTTAAAATGAATGGGTAAGCCCCACTCCCAACTTCACCCCTTTCTTAATGGATGGAATCTGGGTGTGCTGGTGAGCCCACCTGAGATGTAGGGGTGAGAGTACCTCTCTAGAAAGGGGAAAAGATATAGGACAGCAAGGCACTCCACACCATGGTCCCTAGGCTTTCGGAGCCACTTGCCCCCAACCATATGACTTATGTCTGGACAGTTACGCGAAAAAGAAATGCACAAGCATCTAATTCACTGCTATTTGTAGTTTGTTTCAGCACTCAAACTTACATTCTGATGCAAAAAAACCTTCCTTGATGACTTAGAAGGTGTTTCACAACTTTAACAAAGTGAACTTAAGATCTCAAAATGATCAATGTTCTCAGTTGGAGGGGACCTTCAGGATTACTCTATTTATACTGATAAGCAATTTGAAGGTAAAATGAATAAAGCACCTGGCGCCTCACAGGTAGCTGTAATAGGACTTGTATTAGATCCCTCACACTTTAGTTCAGTCTTTCCCTTTGTGGTCCTAGAGATTCCTAAGAAGCCTCCTCCTTGGAAGTATGGATAACTTCCTGCTCAGAATCTGATGCTCATTACTTTCTAGACAACGTAAATCAGTTCCTACCCTGCACACTGCAAGGGTGCTCACACCTTCACAGTAGGAAGGAAACGTGCCATGGGGAGGGCAGTGAGGCTGCTTTGCACTTCACTGGAGGAGGATGGCAGCTGGATTGGGAGAACTGTCTTTGCTTTCTTCTCATGCTGAACCTGGTCTTGAAAGTTTTCCTTTTCTTCAGTAAAACTTACTTTTTTCCTATGACCTGACAACATGAATTTTTTTTTTTTAGATTGCAGAAGCATGGCAGTTGGAAATTCTAAAGGCACTTGCCTTATACAACCTGATGCTATAACACGACTATTGATTATCATCACATGCAATTTAATACTATAAGAAATTTTCTATAATAGCTATCAATGGAGTAAGGATTCAACTGTCAAAGGAACAGAATAGAGAATAAACAAATCATTAACCGTATACCATGTAACAAGCCACGGTACCACTTAAACAAGAGAAGCCTGGTAGAGTTGAAATTGAAAAAGTAAAAGATACAATCCAGCTATTGGTCTACAAAGTCCTTGAGTCCAAAGTTCTATCTTTCGCTTTAAAGGGCCTATAGATCATGCATGCATTTTACTTATGAAAGTAACAGCCCATAATCGAATTCCATTAGATGACATTTTCTATGCCCCTGGCCTCACTTCTTACCATCTTCATTTTCATCGAACACTGGCTGTTTGCTTGAAGAGCTGGCTCCCATGACTGTGTCTGTCCTGACCTGGGCCCTCCAGTTACATCACACCAGCAGATGCACTCATCTCTGCACAAAACAGGTCCAGAAGACTTGCAAGTATCTAGGAAGGAAGAAAGAAACCATATCCTTATTACATGGTAATTCTAGGTGCCCTGAATACAGACCGAGGCTGAAATATTAACCTTAGCTGTATCACAGCAGTAGCAATTTTTGCCCTTGACAATTACAATGTCAGAACTCATCAGGTGCCGGGTGTGAGGGCGCACACCTGTAATCCCAGCACTTGGGAGGCTGAGGCAGTAAGATCGTTGTAAGTTCGAGACCAGCCTGGAATACAAAGCAAGCTAGGCCAGCCTGAACTGCATAGTAAGACTCTGTCTCAAAAAAAAAGAACTCAAAAGAGCCCAAGCAACCTCAGAAAAAAACTGTCTCTTCAGTAGCAGACCTAAAATTACAAAATAGGCATAAAGCAATTTACTTTTCTAAGTATAAAGAAAAGTTTAAGATGAAATCAGCAATGCTTAACAACTATAAACTTAAAATAATAGTTGTAATCTCTATATATTTGAAAGCAATCTACTAAATTTAGATTTTACTTTTTGCTATGTGACCAACAATTATAATTTCTGTATCCATAAAATTATAAATGTGATAAAATAGTGGACATATAATTTTTTAAAAGTTACAATAAAAGACACATTGACTTTAATCCCTCTCAAAATCCACCCTCCTCGCTTGGAGCATGCTTGTCCCATTGTTTTCCTTCTTTCTAACATAGTTCTCTTTCCTGCCCTCAGCTGAACTGCCATGGCTGCTCCATGCCCTGAATGCATTCAAAATATTAAACTTTTTTTATAGGTCTCCTTGCCCCGGACGAAGAGCCTGAGCACGAGGGACGTGCCACGACGCCTCTGCGTGCCTGGCTTCCCACGCCACAGCGCTCCACAGTGCCCTTCACTGTGCTTTTTATCATGGAGCATAAAGACTCCCAAAAGAGAACTTCCTGAATGGCTCCAGGAGATGGCAAGAATGAGGCATGGTCAAAGTTGGGGGAGTATTCTGAAGGGAAATAAATGACAGTGTGTCTGTACTACAATAATTTGTTTTTTATTTTAGAAAATTGCCACGCTTTTGGATTCACCTTTGTATATGCCATGCCTTTCAAATCTGCCCCAGAAGGCACCACATGGTTAAAGGAATGAGTTCTACCACACCAGTGGGCTGCACCCCACCAGCAAGTGGGTGCACCTCTCCAAGTGTGTTTCTATTGTTCCATTCCCTCAACTTGGAGAGGACAATGGTTCTTACCTCAAAGAACAGTTTAGTGTGATACAAATCATTTAGCTCTGTAAATGTATAAGTACGTTTGTGTACAGTAAAGCTCCTCATGTTATATTGTATTTCTGTGTATATGAATGTATATCTCTATGCATTGAGTTTCACAAATGTAGACAGATACACATATATTTAGCCCATAAGATATTTTTACAGTGTAAGTGCTCATTGATTCTTGACTACTCTAAAGCCCAAATTAAATGATGCATCTGAGAGATACATCAAGTGACTTTGTTCTCTTTTAAAATATGATGTTAAAAATTCGTACTCCCCTGAATTGGCAGAGATAGCAGTCTGGGTTGCAGTCCCAAGCTGATACTGATCATGGCTAGGAACAGTACCTTAGGCACTCTAAAGTGGGGAAAATAGCAGAGTCTCCCTCAGCAGTCAGGCAATCAGATGCCTGCAAGGGCTGGGAGATCATGCAAATACCCAAAGCCAAACAAGTGCCGGACATTAGTGCACTGCCAGTGCAGTGGTGAGCATGGCTTAATTAAAAGAAGCAACTGCTCTAAGATCAAGAGATTGTTGTCTTGCAAATACCAGCCAGGGCATCAGCCTTTCAGGTCTGTGACAAGAATGCGGAGCCAACCCTTATAAATAATATTTTAGAATTCAGCCTAACTATGCCATGGGGACAAAAGTGGCTCACAGATACAGCTAATGGGACAAGTAACACAATGACTGGTGCATAACATGAACAGAATAAACATTAGCTACTGTGATTTTTTATAATAGCGCTATTTTCCTTGCTGTGTGTAATTTTTTAATTACTGACACCTGAAGAAATATAGACCTTCAGGCAGAAGGCAGAATTGGAGAAAGTATCCAAACTAACATGGGTTATGGAAAAATGATTTTAAAAAGAAAAACAAAACACTTGGTAATCCACCTCTGCAGACATTGAAGAAAAGCTTACTTACATTAGGAAAATGTAAGTAAAGTTTTCGTTTGGAAAGCAGACTCATTAAGGAAAGGCTACTTTTGATACTAAAAGCCAATTGCTGGCAAAGTGCCTTTTGGACTTTAAAAGAATCATTAAATGGAGCAAAGAAAGTCAGCAATTAGGAAGCAACTAATTAAATGGCGGGGAGAGGGGAGGGGCCCGGCAGGCGGCAACAGGTGGCTGAAGGCAGCTCTGGGGGACTGTTGGGACAAAGGCAGACAGAAAGTACCCAGCTGTCTTTCTAAGCTAAAAAATCAAAGGCTTTGAACTCTGGCAGGAATGAGAGGTGAGAAGCAAGTGGATGCCCTTTGAGTTTTATTGAGGGTTCAGAAGAAGAGAAAAGGCATCCTTTTAATTTATTATGACATTTAGAATCTAGAACAAGTGGAGAAGAGTATAAAGGCATAAACACTGGTAGTACTAGACAAGAAGGAAAAATGAACTGTAAGGAATTGTGCTTGCTGACACCGCAGACTCTGGCTACGTCCTTTTATTTTGTGCTTAACCTCTGAGTACACGTAGCTTTCCCATCACACCAGCCCTGTCATTCTTGTTTTTCTTCACACCTCAGGCTTTTCTTCCTCAGCCTCTCTTCTTACAACCTAAGGCGGCCCAAGCATGGACCTCGCACGTTGCCCAATGGGAAGAAGACGGAGGGAGGAGCACCACCATAACCTGCTGCACTTCGCAGGCTCATTCTCTGTCCACCTCAGATCAGTGACTTTTTAGTGGAAAGAAAATACATAGCAAGGACTCCACTTAGGAGAGGAGCAGGTAGACTGAAAGATGGGGCAATGCAGTGCTGTCGGCTCCACTGCACCCAACACCTATAATCCAGTTTACAACTGCCTTTCTCCTTTTCTCTCCATATGCATAATCAAGTATCATATTTCCCCACTTCCAGAAAGAAATCCACCTTTTTCTAGCATGAACATGAAGACACACGAATGCTTTCAGTGTTGCTGAATAAAGCCAGAACTGTATCATTCTCCTTTACCAATCACCCCACCTGCCTGGTATCCTGATTCTAAACCTACAGTAACAGACAAAAGGCCAAGAGGAATGGAAATGGAAATCCCAAGCACAGAAAATAGATAAGAGAACTTGTTCTGGCAAGAACACAGAAGTGTTCTGATTCTGTCTCCACCTGGACAGCGATCACACCATTCACTGTGATCTGTTTCCTGGTCTGCAGGAAAGGGGTTTCCTAACACTTTGCCTTTACCTTGTGAGGAGGTAAGCTGCAGGCAGCAAGGGTTAAGAGGGGCAATGTCACAATATGCACCTGTGTACGACTGTTTTTGGCTTTTGAAAAACAGAACTTTTAAACTGAGAAATTTTCAGAAGCACAGGAAAGAAGGAAAATATAACAATGCCCAGCTCACACACTCTCAGTGAGTACCGTTATAAGTATTTTGCTTGGCTTCACCATGTTCAGATGTTGCAAATGACAGGAAAACATTATTTCACATTAATGCTCATGTGAAATCGATTCCCCTTTCACACTCCGAAGAACGCCTACTGTCACCAGCCAGGTGTGCACTGTGCCCTCCACAGCAACAGTTTTAACACACATAGTCAGGATTTTGAAATAAGACACCTAAATGACATCATTAAGTAAGCATATTTCACACCTTGCTGGGCTCTTTTGCAAAAGCAGATTTCTGAGGTCTGAGTGTAGGGATGCTCATCTTTGTAGTTCTTTTTGGTACTAAATTTTTAATATTTATTGTTAATTTAAAAAAGCTTCCAAAGTTTCAGCATAAGCTGCTTTTTGGTGTACTAAACCTAAAAAAGAACAACACAAATAATTTTTTTATGAGCTACAATACCAATACCACTTTGAAAACACCAATAGCACTTCACAAAAGACCTTTACTTCAATTATCACACCTTAGGCTGTCTGCACATTCACCTTGATAGTTCTAATCTCTGCTTTTTAAGTGCAGTATAGCACTCCCTTGTGTGAGTACAACGCATGTTACTTTTCTGAATAAAAATATTTAACTTCTTTAGTCTTGCAACAGGGTGGGAGGGGATTCTTGTAGAAATGAAGCCAACCTTCAGAGCAGTTTTTTGTTCGTTTGAAAGCTGGACTGAGAAACAAGCACAGACCCCAGATGTTTACTTAAGTCCACATCTGGGTCCGATTTGGCGCTAGTCTGGGAACCAAGCAGGTTAGCAAAAAACCGGGGCTGTCCTGGCCCATGCCCGGTTGCGCTATCCTGACCACCTGCCTTTGTCTTCTCTTCCTTTTTAACTTCCCGGCTTCCCAATAGCGCGCCAAGCTCGCAGTACAGGTCACTACTAGCTCGCCCAGCCCTCCCTCACCCCTGCCCTGGAGCTCCGAAGGATGCTCGGTCTCGGGAGCGGGGCTACACAACCCGGCGGACCGGGAGAGATCGAGAGACGGATGGGGCACCTACCTGCCCCGCAGGGGCCAGAGCGCGGGCTGCTCGGCCTCGCTGCGCCGCGGGCACCTGCGCTGCCCAGTCCGGTCTCGTCGGGCGCCGCGAGCGCAGCTCCGGGGGAGGGCGGGCGGCTCCGGCCGGGGAGGCGGAGACGGAGGAGGCGGAGAGCAGCTCGCGGGCGGTGTCCCCAGGCGGCGCCCTCCCGAGCGTCCCGAGCAGCAGAGGCCGGACGCCAGCCGGCTGGCGGGGCTGAGGAGCGGGCGTGGGCGGCTGCCAGAGCGCGGCGCAGACCCTGCAGCTTCTTCCCCGGCCGGGCAGGCCGGGGCGGGGCTCTCCTGAAGTGACCCCTGCGGAAGACGCGGGCGGCGCTGCCAGGGGTGGGGGTGGGGTGCGGGTGGGGGTGGCCGGTAGGATCCCGCAGGTCACGGAGGATTTTATAGGTTCCAACGGGAAAGACTCTTTGGGGGTTCTGCTCCGGTAGATTTGCTCTTTTCACTGCTGGGGTAGCTGGGGCCGGCGGTCAGTGGAGACAACGTCGGGTGGAAGGGGACTCCTGACTCGCGGCCCTGACTTTCCCACGCGTCTTCTTTGCCTTCCACCTGCTCCTGGAAGTGGGGCGGGGACAGTTTCCTTCACCTCACTTGCAACAATCAACTCGGTCGAAGTGACTAAGTTTTCCCTCTGACCCAAGAGTTACCTGCTCTCGCGTGGAGTGCCAGCGGTCGCACCGGTTGCTGTCGCGAGGCGCGCGGGGGCGGGCGCTGTCTGGGAGCAGCGAGTCTGGGGTGCGGTGGCAGCTGCCTCTAGCCGGCTCCTCCTGGCCCTGTATTATTGATTGGGTTTGTTTCTTTGTTTGTTTAAGCGAACTTTTGCGTTAATACTTCCATGATATTCGCACCTTGGCAAGTCTTTTAAAACGTTAAGAAAGTGTTGATCAAACACAAGGCATGGATAGCTAAACGCCTTTTTCAGATGCCTGCTTTTGATCTGTTTAGATGAAAAGTTCCAGAGCGGGCAGAAGCTCTGTTGGCATTGTGCATCCTTTTAATACTGACTGTTAGGGCGGCCGTCGGTGTACGTAGGGTATCTGCTGACATGGCAGCAGTGTGGGTCGTCACTTTTCAGGTGAGAGCCACACAATGTTCTCATTCTATTCACGCTGGACATGTAACGCTGCATTCCCATCCAGCCCTTTACCTCTTCTTTCATCTCAGCGATGGGCTGCTTTCTTCTATAGCACTTTAAAAGGTAGGATGGCCTTTAACTCCAGCTAACCCAGGTTCCTTCTGTGTCCAGAGGAAGGGACTTGCCAAAGGTGTGCAGTGAGCCCATGACAAGGCTGGGTAGAAGTTCTAAGCACCTTCATTCCTAATTCTTCGTGAAGACCCTCACTAGAGAGGGTTAGATGCTATCAATTAGCACTGAATGTACAGTTTGGAACAATTTGTAAAAGGTGACTAAACGTCACAAAGTTCAGTCAAAAAGTAGGCTATTAAAAGGATTCAGTGAAGGGCTTTATTCTTAAGCCCTAAATCAGGCACCTGGCAAACAAACAAACAAAAAAGCATGTGTAACCTCCTAAGGTATCTTCATGGGATTGGAGGTGTGCTGCAGATTTGTTGCATCTGTATTATTATCTCTTACCCCACAGGATGTACTGTTACTCACTTCATCACCAAACAAACTAAAACTGCAGGAAAAGGAGCTAAGACTACAAGAAATCTCAGCAAACCTACTCAGTCTTGCATTCCGGCTGCCGTAGAGGTCTTTGGAGTCCGACAGCCTTTCACCAAATGCCAATGCTGTCACTTGACATCTCTGAGATGTTGGCAAAGTCACCTACAGGCCTTGAGCTTCAGTTTTCCAATTTCTCTGTAAGGGAACGCTGGCCATCTCTATAGCTGTGACTGGCGCAGGATTAAATGAAATTACAATGGTGCTAAGCAGTCTGGAGCAAGCACTCAGAGACTGGCCACTCTTAAGATTGTCATTGTAATGAGCAGGCTTCCAAGTAGGTCCTTAGTGTTCTGTACACCATTTTTATTCTGATCCAGTCACTTAAAAAAATTACTAATCAGTTGTAATGTAAGTGTTCCTGTATAGGCTTGGCATACATTTTAAAGAAAAAATGATTCATTCTACTGTATCATTTGCAGTCCAATAAATGTACAGCTGGATCAAAAAGCTGATTTTGTGTAAATCCTTTATTTATTATTTTGGCCATACTCTCTTGTTAGTGTTACTTCCTTAAATATAGTTAGTTGTTGGAGAAAGGCAGATGCTACCACTGAAGGTGCTTTGGAAACTAGGTTGTGTATACACGGCAATCTCTGGAGCCCCCCAGTGGAAAGGAGAACACAGTAACAAGTAAATCTGAGGAAGTCTTACCCAGATTAATACACAGAATTGTTGTTATTTTTGAGATAGGGGCTCAGTATAGCTCAGATTGGCCTGGAACTCACAGCGATTCTACTGCCTCAGCCTCCTGCACGCTGAGATTGTAGTCATCTACCACCACACCCTGCTGATATAGAGGATTATTTAAAATGTCAAGGGGAAGGCATGGTCCAAGACATATATTGTAGTACCTTGCAAATTCAACCATATAATGGCTGCTTTAAAACTGTCTGTTCAGTCCCACTGAATGCAGAGTAAAGTGATGGTCTTGATTGCAGTAGACTTGGCTTTCTGTGGCCCACCCCGTATCTGTCCAGTCACCCAAGGTCAGGGCCACTCTGCTCACTCCACCCATCCCACAGCCTCCGGCTTTTTGCAGATCACACCAGACCTGCTCCCACCTCAGGACACTTGAGCTCTTCCTTAGACACTGACAGGATCGTACCCCTTCCCATCAGCTGTTGGCTCTTCTTTCTCAGCTCGTGTTTATTCTGGTCCCTGAGGCAGACCTTTGCTCAGCCTCTTTATTGAAGCCATTTCCCCACGATCTCCTCTGTTTTTGTTTATGAACCTTGACTTCTTTCATTTCATCCTCACAAACTTTAACCATCTTGCATATATTACATCTTTGCTTTGTTTCCCTGCATCAAATGCAGACTTCAGAAGGGCAGGAACAGCATCTCTTTTGCCTTCCATTATGCCTATAGTATTGAATCAATGTTTGGCACATAGAAAATATTTAGTAAATACATGTATATTTAGTTCTATCCTTGTGGAGAGGAGCTCAGGGGAAAGTACAGAGAAGACTTATGACATCTTAAAGTAGTAACCACTTACTCATAAAGTAAGCATGGGCTGTGTGTCAAGGGCATGGGGGCAGGTGCAGCAGCAGCGACCCCAGCAGAAACTGATGGGTGCCTCTGTGAGCACCCTTGTGGGGCACTGAGCAGATCGGTTAGCTCCGCCCAAGGAGCCAGAAGCCACAGCTACATTTGCTTTCTGTCCTAAAAGATCAGTGAAGGGTCTTGAGAGAAGACCGCATTCTGAGCCTAGAGAATGGATGCATACAAATGTAATATTTTGAAAGAATTCTAAAACGTTTAGTGTGGCTAGAATATAGGAGGTTTAGTGTGGAGTAAGAATAGAGGACAAATGGATCTTGAAGAACCAAATATACTATGAGTCTGAAGTTTTAAACACATGTCTGAGAACCCCTGACATGTGTTAGCAGGAAAATAGACCTCATTACAGGTTAGCCTTAGTAAGATCATTCAGGTTTTTTTATAAACTGTTTTTTTCTCTTAAATGCCATTTTCTCATTAGTAAGAAGATAAGCTCTTGCCACAGTAAGAAAATCTCACTGAGATAAGCAGATTGAGCACAATGTCTTATGTTTGGTAAATTCTCCAATATGTTCTGTGTCCAGTTTGTTGTTCAGGTTTACCTGATTTATCCACTTATATAAATACAACCTTTTCAAGAAACTGCATGGGTTCATCTGGAAAATACGTTCCTTTTTTATATTGGCTAGGCAAAGAACCTGTATTTCACTTGTCAATTTTATCAAGTGACTGAAATTTAGTTTCTAAATGGCCTTTATAAATTCTGTAACTCAAGTTCATTATCTGTGCAATAGCCCATTCCTATAGTGTTGGTAGTTCGTCTGGAGTGGTGAGGACTCCATGCCAGGAGCTGGAGTCAGGCATGCCCTATTGTGCAGAGCACTCATTCTAGCAAGATCATAATTTTTAGCATGCAGGCTTCACGAATCCTCTTATAGATTTATTGCCATATAAGAGTGGGGGGAAAATCAAGGAAGTAATGGAGGTACATGACTGCTAAGGCCAGAAAATAAGAGCTAGACATAGTATCCAGATTTTTTTCTAATACGTACTTGTTAGAAAATACTTGACCACGGATTAAAGTACCTACTTAGGGAGCTGCAGAGGTTGGGGGTTCAAACTCCTGGAGCACGCTGAGCTGGCAATTGTAACTGGGAGTGGTGGTGTGCACCTGTAATCCCAGCTTCTGGGAGCCTGAACACAGGCAGATCACGATGAATCTGATCTACATAGTGAGACCTTGTAGACCCTGTACTAAAA